AAGGTACAGTCAAACCGCGTAGCAAGGATGAGCGCCTTTCCCAGGCAACCTTTACATCCTCCCCCTTCGGCCCATCCCTAGCGACTTTCGCTGGCCAACCTCGTTCGAAACACGCTGACATGGCCCTCCACGGCCCCTGCATGCTTACCGCGCATCTTTCTTATACGGGTTTGCTGTATGTCGGAGACTATCGTGAAGCATCGTCGACCGTCTTGAGCCATCTTGGAGATTATCTGGGAGCATCTGAGGCCTTCGTGAGGCCATCTTGAGCCATATTGGACGCTCTAACTCCTCGGCCCCTCCCAGTCCAGACCCAGGAAGGGGGGGTGGTAGACCTCTCACGAGCGGCGCACATATCCGCACACTCGCGGTCTGGATTCTGGGGCGCGATCCCACTGATACGCGGTCGCACGGATAGGCTCCGCGCGGGACATCGGCGAGAACACGCCCCGCATCCGCGGGGTCGCGGCCCGGGGACCCAGCCCGCGAGGCTGCGGATACGGATATGTTTTTCGCCAATGACCTCCCCGGATGAAGGGTTCTTGGAGGAGAAAGGAAACATATCGTTAGACCACCCTGGCCCAAAGGGCGGGTGGCATTTCCGTTCTCAGTTCCCCAAGCACGGTAAGCGAAATCAGCCAAAACGCCCTGCGTGTTCTGAGAGAGGCCTGTTTACCGAGGGGCCTCGTACGTCTGGAGGGAGGTGTCTTCGTGCAGGCGGTTGTGCCTTCCCATGTGCCCATCGTCCCTTTCCCCTCTATGTTAGGGCAGTTCCATAAAGCGCTCCCTCTCTCTCCACTGCACTCCCCCTCTCTCCCTCCCCCCGTTTTCCGTCAACTCTCCGCCCTTTCTCCTTCCCATCTTCCCCTCGTCCTTCTCTCCCCTTGCCCCTTGTGCCCTCGACCCTCCCTCTACCCATCCTCCCAGGAGGAGGAGGAGGAGGAGGAGCAGGAGCAGGAGGAGGAGGAGGAGGAGGAGGAGGAGGAGGATGCATTGCCCCGTTCCCCTCGTTGGCTCAGCTTGGCAGCATGGGTAAATCTCTACAAACTGCCCCGCACTCAGAGCGCTATGGGGCGCTCTCACGCGGCCGCGGCACCCGATGCATGCTCAAGACCCGGGGGCTCTCAGATACATTGTTTTCTGTTCATCCTCTGGCGCGTAACAGTCGTTACCTGCCCCCCTCCCCCCCTGGGTAACGGTAACGATCGTACGTATGGGGAGCCCTCCCCCCCTGGGTAACGGTAACGATCGTACGTATGGGGAGCCCTCCCCCCCTGGGTAACGGTAACGATTGTACGTATGGGGAGCCCTCCCCCCCAACATGTTGGTGCTCGCTCGCATACTATGGCGATCGCAGCGCACCCCCGCCCCGACGTGCCCCACCCCGCTCAAGCGTTACCGTTACTCGATACCCCCCACACGGGTAGCCACCGATACCCCCGTCGGAGGCTGTGCTCGCCCTGCCTCGTCCATGCAGGAGGGGGAGGGCGGGATGGGCACCGCAGATTTCTCTTGGCGCGGGCTTGCGGAGGTCTCGGACCCTTCTTCCCCTGAGCAGCCTCGAGCTTATCCCAATCCCTAAGACTGACAAGCACAAAGGCGATGACTTGGAACCGTCTGGTGGTCTGAGGTGGCCCAGCATTGGTTCTGGACAGCAGGAAGGGATGGTAGGTTCGAGCTTCAGAGTTCGGGAAGGTTTTCCCCTTTTTCGTCCTCTGGGGGCGTTTGCGGTCCCTGGGACAGTGCAAATATCATCCGGAGTTAAACATTTGCACCAGATGGACCCCGGGATGGTTCCCAGGTTAGATTTGAGCGGATTTGGTTGCATCCCCTCTCCAGACAGATGTTCTGGGGTCCTAGCCAGCCCAGGCCCCCTGGTGGTCTCTAACTTAGGGATGCGCCCCCAGAAACTAAGGGAATCCTTCAGGTCGGCATCGAGATCAGGTGATGCCAATCACAGGGATACGGATATGCTTCAGGGCGGTAAAGCCCCCCCGAGATTCGGATTACGGGATGATCCGCGGGCCCCGCCCTTTTATCCTGGGCCGTTTTGTGTTGACGGGCCCTGGGGCCGGCCAAAGGCGACTCCCACCCTGAACCTCTCCACGGCTGGTTTCTTGTCCGAATTCCGAGGCTCATCCGGCGGTTGCGACGAGGAGCCACCCAGAGATCCAGAGAGGGTGAGCCAACCTAGAAAAAAAGCTAGCTTCTCGAAGTTCGATCCTCAAAGCCTCAAAGAAATTACCTCGAGGGGGAAGCAACGGCAGAAACACGATACTTCCGAGGGCCCGAGCGGATTTCCCGAATCTGCGCTGGGCCCCCCCCGCCACTGCTGGCGCCTGTGGCGCCGCCCCTGGTACGCTCCGCGCGGCATGGAGGGGTATACGGTATCCAAGAGACCCGCGCTGGCCTGAGTTGTTTGTTTTCCATGCTTGTGCAGTTGTTCATTTCCTCTATCGTTCTTCCTCCGCCCTGCTGCTTTGTTCTCTTCCCCTCGTCCTTCTTATTGCGTAAGAATAATATTTGATTGTTTTTATCGATCCTCGAACCTCGATCCTCAGCGCACCCCCGAGAGTCGATGTCTTTTTTGTTCAGCAAGGGTTCCCTGGAGGTCCAGACTCTTCCCCTCTCGGCCGGCGTTTCGTCCCGAGCCGTTTTCTGGCAGCCCCCGGGCCCGGCGAGGGCCCTCATGTGCCGAAAGCCTCAGCGCCCTGAAGGTCGATCGGCTGGTCCTTCATGAAAGCCTCAGAGGGTCCCCAAATCCCGTGCTTACTGTACAGGTTTCGCAGAAAGATGTTGCTGGGATTTCGTACGATTAGGTCGACGTCTGGATGAAAGCTGGACGAAATCTGGACGAAGTCTGGACGAAAGGGCGAAGAGGGATGGTCGAGATCTGGACAGCACTGGACCGGTCGAAATCAAGTTTGCGCCAGGGCCGCGGAAGGCCCACAGAGGCTCCCATGAAGGCTCACCCAGCGCCTGGCTCGATCCTCAGGGCTGGCTCCAGGCCGAGAGCAGTGACCCTGTGCCCGAGTGACCTTCGGTGCGCGGCGTTCGGGGGTCGTGGGCGCGGAAGGGGGGAGGCAACCCCGAGCACGAAGGCCGCTCCCGTCGCGTCGCGCGCAACGCCCGGCAGGCCGCGCCCCAGGGTCACCCCTGCCTGGGGTCACTCCTGCGCGTGGTCCGCTCCCTGCCGTCGCGGCAGCGACCCGGGCGCGGGCGTTCAAGCTTGGACGCCGCCGGGGGCCCAGAATCAGCCCGTATGGCACGATCTGGTGATCGAGAAGCCGCCGATCGTTCATGGGTGAATGGTCCGCGCGGTGTCAGATACCGGCGCCGGAGTCGTCACGACAGGAACCCGCCGTAGCTGCAGATTGCACCCCGCCACCCCCCGCCGCCCGCCCGCCGCTCGTCGCTCGTTGTCGTCGTCGTCGCCGCCGCTGTCGTCGTCGACGCCGCTGTCGTCGTCGACGCCGCCGTCGTCGTCGACGCCGCCGTCGTCGTCGTCGTCGTCGTCGTCGTCGTCGTCGTCGTCGTCGTCGTCGTCGTCATTGATGTTGTCGTCGTCGGCGTTGTCGTCGTCGCCGACGTTGTCGCCGCCGCCGCCGCCGTCGCCGCCGTCCTCGTCGTCGTCGTCATCGTCGTCGTCGTCGTCGTCGTCGTCGTCGTCGACGTCGTCGACGTCGCCGTCCTCGTCCTCGTCGTCGAGGTCGAGGTCGTTTTCGCCCGACACCCAGGAGCGCCTTGCCGAGGCCGCGCCCGGCGCCCTCCGCGAGGCGCAGAAGGCCACCGGCGCGCTGGCGGGCGCGCTGGCGGCTCGCGACGCGGCGGCCTACAAGGAGGCCTCCCTTCCGCGCGGCGCGCCGCGAGGACGAGGGTGGCACGATGACGAGACATTGCTGGCTCTAGGACGTGCCAGGCGACTGCCAGCTTCGAGCCTCGGCGGCGCTCAGCGCGGCGGCGGCGGGGGCTCCGCTCGAGGGCTCCGCTCGAGGGCCCCGCTCGAGGGCTGCGGCGGCACCCGGCGCGGCGGTGGCGCCCCGCGCAGCGGCCGCGGCGCGCCGCTCATCCTCCCCCTCCTCCGCCTCCTCCTCCTCCTCCCGTTCCTTTCTCCTCCTCCTCCTCCTCCTCCGCCTCCTCCTCCTCCTCCTCCTCCTCCTCGACCTCCGCCTTCCCCTCCGCCTCCACCTCCGCCTCCCCCGTTTTCCTCCCCCTCCGCCTCCTCCTCCTCATGCTCCGCCTCCTCCTCCCCCTCCTCCCGCTCCTTTCCTCCTCCCCCTCCTCCTCCCCTCCGCCTCCTCCTCCTCCTCCCCTCCGCCTTCGCCTCCGCCTCCGCCTCCTCCGTTTTCCTCCCCCTCCGCCTCCTCCTCCTCCTCCTCCTCCTCCTCCTCCTCCTCCTCCGCCTCCTCCTCCTCCTCCGCCTCCCCCGTAGCCAGTCTGGCTCACGCCGCCCTCGGCGCAGCCCTCGAGCGGGGCCCATCGGCGGGCCCTCGAGCGGAGCCCTCGAGCGGAGCCCTCGAGCGGGCCCTCGGGCGCGGCTCTCGGCGGGCCTTCCTGCACGGCGCGCGGCGGCGCGAGGGCTGGGGTCAGCAGGAAGGTTCAGGCCTCTGGCGTCGTGAGTTCTTGCTTCTTTCCTCGGAGTTCGGAGGTCTCGATCCCATGCCCCCTGGGGAAGATTCATGGCCACCCCGTCCCCGCGCGCGTGCCTTGTGCCCGGTCAGCTTGCTCGTCGGGGTGGTGTACAAAAGTCGCTTCCCTCGAAGATGCCAATCTTGTTCCCCCGGCTGGCCCGCCCGCGCCCCCCCCCAGCTTGTCTCACCCAGGGTCAACGATAGGGGGGTCTCACTAGTAAGCTCAGGGAGGTTAACATCGACCTCGAATCGGCAGTGCAACGCCGACAGATCGGCGATGGGCTGTCGACAGCGAGTGCCCACGCTCCTGGGCGGGGCAGGCCATCGGCTATCGGGCTATCGGGCACCTGCTGGCGATGAATGGGCGATTGGGGATCGATGCGCCCTTCCCGGGCCGATCCCCGGCACACGCCTGCCTGCCTGCCGCCGCCGCCGCGCGCCAGCGCGCGTGAGAGCCTGCCCGCGGGCCGCAGGCCGTGGACGTGGCCATGGCCGCGCTCGCGAAGTGCGCGGGGGCCGCGGCCTCGTGCAAGGAGGTGGGCGCGGGCGTTCTCTTCGGGGGGGGGGGGGGGTCTCTGTCGGGGAAGCGCAGGGGCCGCGGCCTCGTGCAAGGAGGTGGGCGTGGGCCTTCTCTCTTGGGGGGGGGTCTCTGTCGGGGAAGCGCAGGACTCGAGTGGGAGCCGGAACCCGGGTCTGCCGACGTTTCCTGACGAGCGCGCTCCTTGGATGTTTGGGGTGCAGTCTTCGTGGGACGTCTTCAGCGGGAGCTCGCGTCAAATTTCAGGTCGGGTCTCGTCATTTTTAGGATGGCCCCGTCAGGCCAAGCCGAGCCCCCCGTACCCGAGTCTAACTAATATTACGGCTCCCCGATCAAAGAACAAGGAAAACGGCATTCACAAAAGTTTTGTACGCTCCCCTCGGATTTCTTGGATCGACGCTGGGCCTTTCTGGCGGCGCCTCCGGCGCCGCCCCTGGCGCGCTTTGCGCGCCAGGGTGTGGGGTCCTGCACGGATCCAAGGAATCCGCTCGGACCTTCAAGAAATGAAACTTATCCAGGCCGCCCAGATGGGGTCGAAGCAGGCGGGGTTTTGGGAGATTTGGGTCCTTCCTTTCCCTCCTCAGAGGCTGGGCAGGCCTCCCCAATGGGGCCGCAGCAGGTGGGGTCGGTGGCCGCATCGCCGATGCATCGGCGATGCGGCTCGATGCGGTGCCAGATTTCATCCATGCCGACGTCGCCGTTGCATCGCCGACATCGGCGATGCATCGGCGATGCGGCGCGATTCCCCGACCCCATCTACTCGGACACGGTTTGGGAGGCCTCTACGGGCGTAGCCTGAAGAGGCGAAGGGGGGGTAATGGTGGAGGAGGAGGACCCAGACGCTTCTTGCGGCGTGAACAAAAGTCGCGAATGGAGTTTTCCAATTCCCCACATGTTAGTGGGTTTCCGGTTTTCTTCCCTGCCGCGTCGTACCCGCGTCTCCTCCCTCACTCACCTCCCTCCTCCCCTGTTCTTCCTTCCTCCCATGCAGACACAGACACACACAGACACACACACACACAGACACACAGACACACACACAGACACACACAACCACACACACAACCACGGCCGCACACACATCAGACACTTAAAGTACACACCACACACCACACACCACAGACACAGACACAGACGCAAGGCACGGCAGGCGTGGCAGTTTCTCGATACCACAGGGGGTGCGCTGGAGGTGGGAGCGCTATCCGTCGTACGCTCGCAAAGCGTGGAAGGAGTGGCAGTTTCTCGACACCGCAGGGGGTGCGCTGGAGGTGGGGGGCGCTATCCGTCGTACGCTCGCAAAGCGTGGCAGGCGTGGCAGTTTCTTGACACCAGAAGGGGGTTCGCATGGGGTGGTCTTTGAGCGCGGTCTCTATATGGTCCAGGCTCGGAGAGTGTGGCAGGCGTGGCAGTTTCTCGGCAGAGGGGGTGCGCAGGGGGTGTTCTCTGAGGGCGGCTTCTATACGGTCCAGGCTCGGAAAGTGTGGCAGGCGTGGCAGTTTCTCGACACCAGAGGGAGTGCGCAGGGGGTGGTCTGTGATCGCGGTCTCTATACGGTCCAGGCTCGGAAAGTGTGGCAGGGGTGGCAGTTTCTTGACACCAGGAGTCTCGACACCATAGGGGGTGCGAAGGGGGTGGTCTCTGATCGCGGTCGCTATACGGTCCAGGCACGGAAAGTGTGGCAGGCGTGGCTATTTCTCAGCACCATAGGGTGCGCAGGGGGGGGGTCTCTGAGCGCGGTTTCTATACGGTCCAGGCCCGGGAAGTGTGGCAGGGGTGGCATTTTCTTGACACCAGAGGGGGTGCGCACGGAATGGTCCCTGAGCGCGGTCTCTATATGGTCCAGGCTCGGAAGGTGTGGCAGGGGTGGCAGTTTCTTGGCACCAGAGGGGGTGCGCAAGGGGTGGTCTCTGAGCGCGGTCTCTATACGGTCCACGCTCGGAAAGTGTGGCAGGCGTGGCAGTTTCTCGACACCAGAGGGAGTGAACACGGGGCGGTCCCTGAGCGCGATTACGGTACAGGCTCGGAAAGTGTGGCAGGGATGGCAGTTTCTCGACGCCCTCAGGGTTCTCAGGTTCCCTCGGTTTCAACGGCGTCACCAACGGTATCGGCGGGGCAACGGCCACCAGCATCATGCTCGCATGTTTCACTTCAGCTATCATCACTCCAGACATAACATAAGTATGTGGGGTTCCTCGGTCGCGTAATTAATCGCTTCGTTCACTCCGCCGGCCCATGTCGTCGCATCCCTGCTGGTAGTATACCGAGTGTTCGTATGGATTGCGGGGCCGCAGAGAGGAATGAGGTCTAACATCTTCGACTGCTTTTGAGAGTCCCCGTGTTCTGGATGGACACGTTGTCATCCAATGGCCTTTGGCCAATCCCACCACCGTGCCTAGGTTGTGGGTCTGAGTCCTCAGGAATGCTGGCGAGTGTAAAAGACGAGACGACGGAGAGGAGAGGGGGAGAGACAGGAGGAAAAGAGGGAAAGTGGAGACATGGGATCCAGCGCCAGTCCAGAGCCGTTTTCAGAGGAATGAAGAGTCTAGCATCTTCGAGCGGTCTTCGGAGGCCTATTAGTACGTATGGGAATGATGTCATCGAATGGCCTTCTGCCCATCCCGCCGCCGTACAGGTTTTTGGGTCATAGTCCTCAGAGGCGCTGGCATGGGGTCCAGCGCCAGCCTGCTGCCCATCCAGCCACCGTGCCCCGGTACCGCGCCTGGGGTTTGGGTCCCAGTCCTGAGGGATGCTGACATGGGGTCTCTTGCGAGCGCTCTCAGGGGCTTGGGGGGGGCACTTTGGGGGCCTTTGCGGAGCGTGTTGGGAGCTTTCTGGGGGCCTCTTGGGGGCCGTTTGGGAGCCTTTGAAGAATTCTTGGGAGCTTCTTGTGGGTTTCGTTGAGCATCTTGGGGCCTCTTGCGGGCCTCTTGGGGCCTCCTAGAGCGTCGTGGGGCTGAGGGGTCGCAATGTGCGTTCGGGCCCCCCCGTCCGGGCTCCCGATTGGGGCTGTCTTGGAGGCTTCTGTGCCGTCTTGGAAGCCTCTTGATCCGTCTTGGGGCCCTCTTGGAGGCGTCTTGGGCTGTCTTGGGGCAATATTGGGAGCCTCTGGGGGCCATCTTGGAATGCTCTTGGAGGTTCTTGGGCCGTGCTGGAGCGATTTTGGCAGCCTCTTGGGCGGTCTTGGAGAGTGTGGGAGCCGAACAGGCGAGAACGTGAGAATCCTTCAAACCTACGGGAAATCGATGAATTGTGTCTCTTGGGGCGGCTACTGGGTATGAATGCCTCTTGCGGCGTCTAGGAGGCGTCTTGGGCCGTCTGGGGGCGATCTTGGGCGTCTTGGAGAGATCTTCGGGCGTCTCGTAGCCCTCTTGAACCCTCCTGGGGGCCTCTTGGGGCCCTCTTGGCTCGTCTTGGGGCCTCCTGGGTCCCTGGCGGCGCTCCTGGGGCGATCCTGAGAGCCCCGAAGACCAGCCCCGGCAGCTCTGGCATCCTTGAGCGGCCCGCAGGCTGCGCCCGGGGTAGTTTTCGACCAGGGGCTCCACGCGCGCGCGAGTTAGAAAAATAATCATGTTGCCGGAGATCTTAGCACGCCTCTGGCCGGTTGGGCTGGCGAATTGTGATTGCCAGTTCCGCCTTCACCTGGCTGGGCCCTGGACCGAAAAAACGTCTCGGGATAAAAAGCTGGTCCAGGGGAGTGGGTCGAGACCTCCAGGTGTTCACGTGAGTTTCGTTGTGAGCGTCTGGCTGGAAACGTCCGGGTGTGAGCGTGAATCCGAGTGGACGACGGATACGACGACGGCGGCTACGACGAGGGACAATGATGACGACAAGTCTCAGACAGACAGGCGATGAGCAGGCCCCCTCCCCTCTGCTTTCTCCTCCCCCTCGTCGTAGCCCCTCCTTTCTCTTCCTCCCTCCTCCCATTTCCCTCCTGCATCCTCCTCCTTCCTCCTCCATCCTCCCTCCTCCTCTTCCTCCTCCTCCTTCTCCTCCTCCTCCTCCTCCCTGGCGGCCGTCCTTCTCTGTCCTCCTTCGTCATCTTCTTTCCTCCTCTCCTCCTGCACCTCCTCCTCCTCTTCCTCCTCCTCCTCCTCCTCGTGCTCCCTGTTCCTCCGTCCTCACTCCTCCTTTCTCCTCCCTGGCAAGTGTCCTCCTCCTGGCGGCCTTCTCCCTTCTTTTTCCTCGCCCTCCTCGCTCGAGACATCCCCAGGCGAGTGCAACCATCCCTGGCGGTTCCCCGTTGGGGTGCTATAGCCAGCAACTCGTTCGAGACATCCTCAAGATCTGGTTTGAAAGCCGAGGAGCCCAAGCCACCAAAACAGGCAAGCCCCTGAGACTTACCCACAATCTGGCCACGAACGGACGCGGCGGCTGCCCCTTGCGCCCTGCTCGAGACACAATCAGCTCTGAAAACAAAGGAGCCTAGGGCACCGATCAAGCAAACCGCTTAACACATCCCCACAACCTGGGCCCCTTGGGGTGCTGAAGCCAGCGCCTCGCTTGAGACATCCTCATATCTATGGACGCCTAGGAGTCCAAACCACCAGACAGGCACACCATTTGAGATGATCCTGCAATCTGGGCCCCTTGGGGTGCTGAAACAAGCAAATCATGCGATGCATCCTCACAATCTGCTCTGAAAGCAGGCGAGTCTGGGCACCGAAACCGGCAAACCGCTGGAGACATCTCCACAATCTGGGAGCGGACGGGCCCGTGCAAACACCCTGGCGGATCCCCCTGGGGAGTGCTGAAACCAGCGCTTCGCTCGAGACATCCTCGCAATCTGCTCTGAAAGCAGACGGGTCTGAGCACCGACACAGGCAAACAGCCTGAGGCATTCCACATTTTGGACGCGAGCGGGCCCGTGCAAGCACCCTATCGGCTCCTCCTTGGCAGTGCTCAAACCACCGCCTCGCTTGAGACATCCTCGCATTTTGCGAGTCTGAGTGTGATGTATTCCGAGTGTGAGTGAGTATGAGAGTATGAGAGTGAGTGTGAGTGTGAGTGAGTGTGAGTACAAGTGAGTCTGAGTCTGAGTGAGTCTGAGAAATGGTGAGTATGAGGGTGAGTGAGTCTGAGTGTGAGTAGGTCAGAGCGTGAGTTAGTCTGAGCATGGATGAGTCTGAACATGAGGGAGTGCGAGTGCGCGTGAATATGTTTGCGAGTCAGTATGAGTGTGAATGACTCTGTGTTGGTTGAGTCTGAGTGTGCGTGAGTCTGAGTTTGAACGAATCTGAGTGTGAATGCCTCGGAGATCGAGAGTTGAAGAGGAGTGGAGAAGGAGGAGGAGGAGGAGGAGGAGGAGGAGAAGGCGGAGGCGTCACAGTAATAGCACATCTTCGGATGTGGGGAATCACGATGTCGGGCTTCTGGAGGCGATGACGACGACAGTGACGCCGACGACGAGGGCGACTCCGAGGAAGAGCTGCCCTCAGTGGTTGGCGGGCAGAGCGTGTACGGTGCTGAGCAGCATTCCCGATGTATGCTTTCCGTTTGGGCTGGCGGTGGGTCCCGATCGGCGAGCTTTCTTCTACTAGCTTTCGGGCGGTCGGGGACGTTTGGGCTGGCGTGTCGCTCCGCGGATTCCGGCCTGCCACCCTCCGCCGCGACGCGCGCTCCACTTCCCGGCCCACAGGCGTCCACGCCCCGACCTTTGTCGGTCCGAGCCATCCCGCTCTGCGGGCCGACGCGACGCGCTGTCCACTCGCAGGGCACCGGCGTGCCGCGGCCCCCTCCGCGTCGCGCTGTGGAGCATTCCCTGACCGTAAGTAGCCCCTCAGGTGCGGCGGCAATTTTAGAACGCTTCTGACCCCCATTTGGGCCTCCAGGGGACAGCCTCGTGGCCACGGCTGGACGCAGCCGGAACACTTGTTCGCTGTTCTCTCTCTGCTCGAGGCAACATCTGTTTCGACTCGATCGATGTTGCTCGCGCTGCGATAGATCCAACCTCTAATGTTACCGACCCAGTGTGCCCACCGAGCCGAAAATAGCTCCGATTGCCTTCGATTCGGGAGCCCGGTGGAGTTTTCTCGGCTCGCACAGACCGAGGCCGCGAGATATTCCGACCCCGGCCATGCCCGAGGACGGACGGTGAGGCGACTTCGGGAGGTCTCTCTTGCTCTTTCCTGAGCCTCTGGGATAGGACCTCTTGTGTTCACGGCCAGACGCAGCTCCATAAACAGGTTGTTTGCTCATGCGAGTTTACTTGCATGGCATCCCGCCGCCTCCGCCGACCCTTTTCGGAAAGCGCTGGGTTGAAAAGGCGCGCAACCGATTCCCGACTTGCGCGAAGTCCAAAGGTCCTTTCGGGCGACGCCGCGCTCCCCTTCCCACTCCTCGGTGAGTCAAAGATGGGGTCCTGAATGATGGGGTCGTACGGATAATCTGGAAGGGATTCAAGGGTGGATTTACATTGTTCGAGGCACCTCGTCCTTGGAACCCCTCCCTTCAGGACCCCGTCTTGAACCACCGACCTCCATGCAACTAAACTCTTGCCGGAATCTGAAGAACATCCGTTTCCAATGCGAGCCTCCAGGGACGGCTTGGTGGCCACGGCTGGACGCAGCTCGACAAACAGCCAGGATTCAGGGGAGAGATGCGACATCACCGCCATCGAGAACCCATCTGACGCTCGGGCGTGCCACCGCCCAGGGGTGGGCCCTCCCCCATGAGTTCTCGGTGGCGGTGGTTTCCGTTTCTTCTCCGGAAGAGAACAACTGGGAGAAGTCCGGGGATCTGCTTGTTGGTGCGGATGTGCGAGTCGGGGGAGCAGGGCGCTGGGAGGGCGGCCTTCCGCGGACGCAGGGGAGCTTCTCAGACGCCTCTCTGGTGAGATCATCCGAGATCTGAGGAGCCTTCTTGGAAGGCCCTCCGGGCTTTTCCGTGAGATGGCCCCTGCGCTCTTCAAAAGGCCCCGCTCCCCCCTCGGCCCGCCCACTCGCCACTGCGAGCCGCAAGCAGGAGGAGGAGGAGGAGGAGGAGGAGGAGGAGGAGGAGGAGGAGGAGGAGGAGGGCGCGGACGAGTTTCGTTTGTTCGTTTGTTTGTTGGTTGTGAGCCATGCGCAGAGGGGGGGGTATGGGGGAGAAGGGAGGCTTCTTGGAAGCACTCCTGCTTCTTAGAAGGCGCGGTCCTTCTCTGTAAGGCCGGCGCCTTCTAACAAGCAGCCTCATTCTACGAAGCTTTCCCCCCTCCTCCTACCTCCTTGCCCGCGCCGCCAATAGGGCCCTGGCCGATGCTGGCCGCTTTTCGTCGCGGCGTCGTCTCGAACATGCCGCCTCTGGCACCAGGTATGGCTCGCAGGAGCCAGCCACGTGAGGGATGATACCTCTGAGGAGGTTCGGTGCATGTTTTCCTGTGGCTCTGGCTGACTCCGCCTCGAGATCCTGGGCGCCGAGGTCCCCCGCCAAACGACCGACGCTGTGCGTGCGCCGATCCCCTTGCTGAGGCCCGCGAGGGCCGAGGTCCCCAGACCGGCCGCGAGCGGCCGGGGGCAGCACGTGCACCGATGCTCGAGGCGGGGGAGGGCTTGGTGGGTTTCTCCGGAGGGGTGAGGCGACTCGTCGTCCTCCTCCTCCTCCTCCTCCTCCTCCGCCTCCTCCTCCTCCTCCCTCCTCCTCCTCCTCCCCCTCCCCCTCCTCCTCCTCCTCCTCCTCCCTCCTCCTCCTCCTCCTCCTCCTCCTCCTCCTCCTCCCTCGGGTCGCCTACGGCCCCGGGGGGAAACAGTGAAGGGGGGGGGGGCTCTGGGGGGGCTGCTGCTGGGGCCCTCTCTGCTATTGTGTCCGTGCTTTCTGATTCGGCCGCAGAGGCGAGCCGCACGCGCGCTCTCAGCAGCCCGGGGTGCACGGCGGCGCAGCGACTGTCCGGCAGCAAGAGGGGGAGGGGGGGGGGAGGTGTCAGGGCGCCAGAGACGGGGGCACAGCAGACGGGTTGCACGGGGAACGCCGAGTTCCACGCTTGGCTATGCCCCCGTTTAGGGGGGCCCTGGGCGCCGCAGACGAGAGTACTCCAGGTTTCGTAATAAAAGGGAGGGGGTCTGGACCCTCCAAGACAAGCCATTCCAGACCCCCCCCCGTGGGAGAACCCTCCAAAACATCGTCCCCAGACCCCCCAGGCCCTCCAAGATAGCCTGGAAGAGACCCCCCCCCGAAATGAGACCCCCCTCCCTTTCTTTCGAAATCTGGAGTACAGCAAGCGGGGGCACATGGAAGAGCCTAAACCCCCGTGTAGCAAAATTTCCCCGTTGGCGAAGCCCCGGGGAGGAGGGCGGCCGCGAAAGCAGGCGGGGGAGGAGGGCACTCACCGCACGCAGATTTTCGGCAGGAGGTGCCGGGGCGGCCAGCCTGTGCTGGGGCGACTGGTGTCCATACACGCCAGTCGTTGAAAGTACGTATTGTTTCATTATCTGGTTCCCAATCTACCTCAAGGGCTTTCCTGCTTCAAGAACCGATGTGGGTTCTGTTGTTTCTTGTTACCATCTGGGCGGGCTCGATTCCAATATTCTTTATCCGCCTTCCTACTTCATGCTTCTACCTACTTCTTCCGGCTGGCGGGTGTACATGACGTCTTGGAGTGTTGGGCCCCTTGCCCCAGAAACCAAAGGCGCATTGGATCTGGCTCCTCGAGGCCAGATCTGTGCATGCCCATGTCCACGGCGCGTCGGCCGCGTGGCGCCTGTCTTCCAGGAAGCTCAAGACGCAGTGGACGTGGATGTAAATCTTGCCCGCCTCTGGGGGTGCTATTGCGGGGGCCCTCCCTCGCGCGAGGTGCTGCCCAGCCACCACCTCGTGGCCGGGCTCGCGAAGGCTGCGGTGCCCCCCAGCGGACGGGTCTCCCTCCTCCGACCCCATCGCGTCGCGACAAAGACTGCGACTGGAGGCTTCTCGTAATTTCCTGCTCCTGGGCCGCAGAGTAGCAACATGGACTTCCGCCACCGAGATCCCATCGGTGAGGGCCCAGGGGTCGTCTCCCCACTGATGGGTTCTCGGCGGCGGGGTCCGTGTTTCGTCTCCGAGTTACCGGGCCCTGGGGCCGCCAACAAGTTTTTCAGGATGAAAAGCGTGTCTCGGGGGAGACCTCCGCAGCCGACGTTGTGAAAACAAATGCCGTCGGGGGTGTGGGTCCTTCAGAGGCCGGGCAGGTCTCCCAGCTGGGGCCGCTACGGGTGGGGTCGGAGGATCGTGCCGCATCGCCGATGCATCGGCGATGTGGCTCGATGTGTCGATGTGGCTCGATGTGTGCACAGGTGTTCTCCACGCCAACGTCGCCGATACATCGCCGACGTCGTTGATGCATCGCCGTTACATCGACGTGATCTTCCGACTCCATCTGCTCGGACTCCATTTGGGAGGGCTCTAACATGGGGTTCGCAATTAGGGGGGTCACCGCTTCCGCGTTGAAATCGAGGATCGAGGGAGAGCCAAGATAGAGTTTCGGAGAGGTTTGGGACGTTTCTAAGCGTCTCTGGAAGCCCTGGATGGTTCTGGGTGTTCCTGAGGGGTTTGCTTCCCTGGAGGAGGTAGTGACCGCGTAAGTGGTGATGAAGGCACCGAACAAACATGTATTGATAATCTGGGAAGTGCCCGGGCCTCGAACGTCATTAAGCAAGCATGGGGGCCGAGTTCCCTCGCAGTTTCCTCCCGCTGGGGGTCACTTCCAGACCTCAGAGAAGAAACGGCCAGACAAGAAATGGTAATCATGAGCGTACTGAGACACCTATATCGGGAACGCCGTGAAGCAACACCAATGCGGGGATGATTTAACATTTTGGGCTCCGAGGGCGCTTCTGGGCCCCAGGGCCATCAACAAGCCTGATGGGACAGAACAGGCACGGTCCCCAGGCAGGGGCCGAGAGTTTTTGGGCCCGCGTGTTGAAGATGTTTGGGCATCGGAGGTTCTGGAATCCAGAGCAAGGGGAACGACGTTTTGTAACAATTCGGATGTACTTGCTTGTCCGCGCAGTCCTCGTACGCATTTCTCGGGGTCGTCGGCTGAAGTGCGTGCCCGGAGGCTCAGCGGACCTGCGCGCCCGTCAGGATGCGTGTTGGGATTATTCTCGTTTTTCCCAACCATCCTGTGGTGTCGGGTCTTCGTTTTGACGAGACGGTCCCCGCATTCACTCCTTCTCCTTCCGCTGCCCCCTCCCTTTTCCATCATACAGCGACTTGTCGGCATTTGTGGCAACACCGCGGCCGTATTCCCTTGCTCAAGTTCTAAAGGAACGCAGGCATTCATTCTTTGAGCGGGTCAACGCCGACCTCACAGTGCCCTCTCCGTTGCCATCACCGTGCGCGGCAGCTCGACGCCCTTTTTCGATTGCGTCTGCTCTCCTGCGCTGGCCTGCCCAGCGGTGGAGTGCCGCTGCTCGACTGGCACGGCTCGCTGGCTTCTGCCCAGCCGACAGGCTGGTCAATCGAGTTCGTGGTCGTGCTCGTGGTGGGTGGCTTCGCGTACGGCAGCGTCGTTGGCGGCTACTGCTTCAAGAGCTCGCTGACGGACCCCGTGGTGCAGCCTGCACCCGCTCCAGCATCGCTTCAGGAGGCCGCGGACACTCTCGACCTCGCGACTGCGGCGACTACCCAGGCGAGGAAGTTCCGCCTGTAGGTGGAATGGCTGCTCGCGCCGCTGGACAGTTCCACTACTTTCGGTACAACGTCGGGGCGCCCGCTATCCACCACGAGAGACTCACTCTGCTGCCTGGGTACATCCTTACCCCTGGCGATGAGGTATATGCTGAGAGCGACTCAGCAGGTGGTGACTCGAGAGCTGTGCATGACTCGGCGGGCCATGGCGACGCGATCGTCGGCGTCGCCGCCAACAAGCTCCTCAAGTTCAGGCGGCTGCCGTCTGCAGCCGTCGCCTGGGCTGCTGTGCGTAGCGGCGTCGCCCAGGGCCATGGGCCTCTGGCGCCTTCGCCCTTCATCCTCGAGCTCAGCGCCGACAACGTGCTGGGCGTGGCGGAGGGGGTCCTGGCCGTGTTCGACCCGCTCGGAGCGGCCCCCGCCGCCGCAGCGCCTGGCGCCCTAGCTTTGGCTGGCGCGGCCGCGCCCCCCGCGGGCGCCCCTGGGCCGCCTGCCGCGGCTGCCGCTGCGCCTGTGGGCGGGCTGGGCGCGCTGGCTGCGGCGCTCGGTGCGGGGGGGGCCGCCCTGCCTGCCGTCGCTGGCCCTCCGGGCGTCGGCGCCGCCGCCGCGGCCCCCGCGGCCCCAGGCGCCGCAGGGTCTGATCCCCGCGTGCTGGCCACCGTCCTCGACGCGCGGGGGTTGCGGGACATGCCTTCCAGGGGCGCTGTCAAGCGCCAGACCGAGACCCCCCGCGCCGACTGGCCCGTGAAGGGCCTAACGACCACGATGTGGGTGCTCCACTTCATGCTCCGCATGGCGGGCGGGGCGATGGCATGGCTCAACCGCTGGATGGCCATGAATCAGGCCTCAGAGACGGACGACACCGACAGGCTGTACGAGACGCTGTGCCGTGTCATCGAGACCTCGCTCTGCTACGACCAGCTGATCATCTGCGAGCTGTCTTCCTACGAGATTCTATCGCGGCAGCTGCTGATGGTGGAGGGGCGCTTCTTTGAGGAGCGCGCGCGCAGGACTCACCCTGCGCCCAAGGCCAAGGGCCAGGCCAAGGACGGCGCCGCGGCCGCGGCCGCCGACGTTTCCTCCGAGATTGGCCACTTCCTCGGCACTGGAGAGACGATGGGCAATTTGTGCATTTTCCCACCCGTAATGGATTGGATCGCTGAGCAGATGAAGAGTGAGGCTGCCGTCGCGAAGGAACGCCGCAAGGCTCGCGAGGAGCGGGCCTTGCGGCAGCCATGACGTTCCCGAAGGACGCTGGTCAGGAGGGGCCTCACGACGCGCCACCTGTTCGTGAGCCTGGCCAGCTTGGCCCCGAGCCCGTCGAGGCTCCACCTGGCTTGGAGTTGCCCACACGAGGTGACCATCGCCAGCGTGACGTTTTTCCGCTTCCTCTTCTTCCAGTGGATGGGCGTCGCCATCTTCCGCTTGGTCGTGTGGCTCGTCTGCGCGCCGCCAAAGGCGCGGGCTGGAGAGAGTGGTGCAACGAGGGATTGCCTGCTCTCAACTGGCTCCACTGCGGCAAGGGCGAGCCTTCCATGCCTGACGAAGGGGGGCCACCGCCCGCGGCCCAGGCAGCCTCAGTGGACTACATCGCGGGCTCGCACCGCGACTTCGAGCTGCCCGCCGCCTACTCGGAGAGAGGCCGCGATTGCGAAGCATCCCTCGTAGAGATGCTCGCACAGGCACCTGGCTACGCTGGTGACAGCGGTCGAGTGCGCCCTCACAGCATGCCGCTTGTGGCCTGGCCCGAGTCGACGGAGGCAGTCTCCACCTGCGGTGTCGTCTCCGAGGCCGACTCCATCGTGCAGCAGGATTGGAGGCAGAGTATGCTGAATCCCGAGTCGGTGGCGGCGGAGCTGCGCGAATCGCTGGGGGTTATCCGCCCCTATGTCGATCCTGAGCTGCGCTTTAAGCCGAAGTCCTACGCTGAGTTTTTGAAGCAGCTGGAGGCCCACGGCATGATCACCTGGCGGGTCTCCAGCGAACAGGCATCCTTCTCTACTGGTCTCTTCTTTGCGCAGAAATGAAACGGCAAGCTGAGGTTGGTGTTCGACACCAGGCTGGCCAACTGCAGTTTCTCGTGCCCACCAGCCACTCGTCTGCCCACGCCCAGCGCGCGGGCCAGCCTCGACTGCGACGACAGTTTTCATTTCGCGCAGGGCGACATTCAGTGTGCTTTTTATCATCTACGACTGCCAGCTGGCATGGAGTCGCTGTTCTCTCTGCCACCGATAAATAACAGATTCGTCGGCCTCAAGTCGGTCAACGGGGTTCGTCTCGGCATCAACGACTGCGTCCAGCCTCTTGTCACGGTCGTTCCCATGGGGTGGAGTTGGGCCCTTCACCTGTGCCAGAGTGCGCTGACGAGAGCCCTGTCGGATGTCGGGTTCGGCCGTGACGATGTGATTCTGGATGGGGGCTGCCCTCGGCCTTTGGTCGCTGAGAAGGACGCGGTGTGTGCGGGATACGTTGACAACTTCTGTGTCGTATCCAAGTGTGCCGAGACAGCCGCGCCCCTGGCGCGTGCCGTTGCTGACCTTCTCACGGCCCGCGGGTTGCCTGTCTTGGAATTCTCCCCTGCGGTCAGTAAGGTGGTATTCGCGGGCTTGGGGGTCGACGGAGCCTCTGGGATCATTCGTGTTCGTCCTGACCGCCTCGCTCGCACTCGTCAAACCGTTCTCGGGCTTTTGAAGCGTGGGCGGGCCTCTGCTGGGGCCCTCAGCGTGCTCGTAGGCCACTGTGCTTGGGGGATGACCCTGAGGCGCGACGTTCTGAGCATCTTTAACGCGGTCTATCGGTTCATGGGGGCTGTGGGACCTCATCCTGGACCCCTGTGGCCCTCGGTCGTCAGGGAGTTGTCGGCTGCCGTGGCCCTCATCCCGCTCTGGAGTGCCGCTACAAGGTCTCGCAGGTATTCGCGGGTCTACGCTTCTGATGCGTCGCCGTTCGGGAAGGGTGTCTGTGTCAAGGAGGTCCCCCCCACGCTGTCGTCCGAGGTCGGCCGAGTCGCCGAACGCTGGAGATATCGTCATGGGGATGCCGTGCTTGCCAGAACACATGCCCTTGACGTCGACGGTCGAGACGATGCTGCCGACGGTTGCCGTGCCGACGCATCGTCTACTGCCTCTACTGCTTCGTCGTCTGGGCCCAGTGGGTTCCTCGGGGTCCCTGAGTCCATCTACGGGGCCGAGGGTTGGAAGACCATGCACTCTAGCCGTCATGCC